AAAAGGAACACAATTTAATAAATGTTCAAATCTTAACACCAACCTATATTTGTTTTAAGTTAAATTTATTCAGATTGGTCAACTTCATCTTTAGTGAAAGTATGAAAAAAAATTATAATTGTGAAGCTGTGATTTTTTCATGATTAAAGCCCAAAAATGGGTAAAAATTGATGGAAAATGGGAATATCTATTTAAAATGGGGTACTTTCAAATGGCCGTAAAAAAAAAAGAAGTGCATCATCATATGATTTGTTCTACATCAATTCCTTTCTTACAGTCAAATAAAACAAAAAATCAGGGAAAAAAAGTTTAATTCTAGTAATGGTTTGCTCCTCAGAGTATACATCCTTAAGTTAAGGCAACAGTAATTTACCAATGTTCAGCTCTCTTGAAACGATTAAGTAAAGACCAAACTAGGTAAGAAACAAAAACGAATAGAATCACAGGAACTTCAAAGTGAGTGAGACGAGGTGGGTGAGTCTACAGGGATAAGCGTCTCCAGTTATGCATGCATCATACGCCATACAAAAGTCTTTCAGATACAATCATGGATAGAAGGCAATAGATTAACTTACAGATCATACGACTGTATTGGTATCTAAAGATCTCAGACCGCAAATAGGTAAGACACCGATACATCGTAATGGTCGACAAATTCGTGATGGTGACCATAACTTATATGTTGTCGATTTTTATCATTGTTCTTCCTCATTTTCCTGAGCATTTTTGGGTTATATTGTGTAATATCTTGTGTATGCACTTTTGTGTTTGTGTTGTCTGGTAAATCGTAATTTTAGGGCTTTTCATATTGATGTTAACAGCCTGTTATTTCTTGTAAATATTCTCCATCCCCTGGTCAAATTTAAAAAGGAGAGGATTGAGATCTTGAAATATTTTTTCAACCCACTATTTTTAACACTGACACATTCTTTATGTGCCTGTCCAAAGTCAGGAGCCTGTAGTTCAGTGGTTGTCGTTGGTTCATGTCTGTCATATTTGTTTTTCGTAAATTGTTTTGTTCTTAATTAGGCCGTTAATTTTCTCAATTGAATTGTTTATTTTTTTTTCATGTCGGGCTTTTTATAGCCGACCATACGGTATGGTTTTTTTCTCATTGTTGAAGTGTTGAAGGCCGTACGGTTGCCTATATTTTTTTACATCCACTCCATTTAAACTTTGGTGGATAGTTGTCTCATTGGCAATCATACCACATCTCCTTATTTTTATATACATTAATAGTGACTGTCTAAAGCTAACAAACACATCAGTGTTTTTTTCTGACGGATCTTCATGTGTTTTGCTATTTGTAGATTTGTAAACATCCTGTTTTGATGGCAGACAATTCATTTTTCTAGAATTTTTTTTTCACAATATTTTCACAGAATATGGACGATTAAGATCTTGACATTTTATACAGACATAAGCTTTTTAACCTCTAGTTGTGTTATGTGTATTCGCCTTTCAACAGAAACATCTGTAATATATGTATAAGTATCGATATGATTTATGTTTGCTTGTTCCGACCTCGACAACACAGTCAAAATACGTTTAAAACATTCATGTACGATCACGGGAAATAATTGAATTAAATTGGATTAAAAAATTACTGACAGTCTATCCTCTCGGTATTTATGATAATATCATAGGAATTGGTAATATATCAAGAACCGATTCTGTTATAATTTTGGATATCGTTTCTAAAACTGTTCGTTAAAACCGTTCTCATGAGCTTAGAATTAATCGCAATCAGAGAAAATTTCGTACCAACAATACAAATATTTCGGACCTAATTACTATTTCAAAAAACAACGGCACACATTATCTGTTAACCAAGCTCTGTTCTTTACCTGTTAAGAAATTACATCAAATTTTAGAGGATTGCAACACAATTCCATATTGCAGTCCTAAGTATGAAATCGTCCAAATTATAATTGCATACTGTTTCCCAAAATTGATCGCCATGAAGAATATAAAAAACATTTTATTAAAATCGAATATGTCAATAAAGGTTTTTTTTGTAAATACTGTCGGTATTATTAATGATCATTCCGTTAAAGAACAAATTCCTGACTATTTTGATAATACTGAGCTCCCATTTATTTGTTATGTTTACAATAGATCTACCCGGAGATATGTGATTAATTATAGCGAAGTGTGTAAAGATGTTAATATCAGTGTCAATACACCGTCGTCATGAAATTGCAGTAATTCCGAATACATTTATGGCCCCAGTCCCATGTTATAACAGGAGACCTTAACATCGTCCATGACCCAGAGTTGAAATCATTCCTCAGTAAAGGACCTACATATCGCCCCCCGTTAATTATTAATTGGAATGAATGTCGTTATATCATCCACGACTCGATCCATACGTACTGCACGAAATAGATAAAACGAGAAAAAGCTGACAGAAAATCCTCTTTACAAGCAGAACCAAATACAATGAAAGTTCCAACTGTGTACAGGCTTCCAAAGCTGCTCAAAACACCTTCCAAATATAGATAAATTTCGTCTTCAAGCCATTGTTCCACTACTAAACTGTCTATCATACTTACTTGTACACTTGGTACATTCAAAAACCTGGTAATAAATTGTTCAAATAAGGCCTTTGAAACAGTGGAATTAATTACTTTTGGAGTGTCAAAAATTCGTTTGAAGTACTTGAAAAATTGCATACTTATATTGGTGATTTCGAATCTGTTCAAAGTTTTGATTTTTTTACTCTGTATACCACTTTGCCCCATAATCTCTTTAAGAAAACCTAATCCCTTGTCACCATCTTATGATGTTTATATATCTCAACTTGTTCGATTCGCTCGTGAATGTAATAACGAATTTGATTTTAACGAAAGAAATCTCTGTATTTCTGAAAAATTTATACACAAGGGTTGTCTATATCACAAAACATTTACTAAATTTTATCATCGGTACAAGAACATCATTCGTAAATATGAATCAACATGCAGATATCTTCTACGTTCAGGTATTGCACATTCAATCTTTTATGGTAATATTCTATACAAAGCACAAAAATGTAGTCATTCACCTCAAAAGCTAACCAAACCTTTAAACAGACTTATTCAGAAGGGATATAGTTACGATACTGTTGTCAGATAGTTAAAGATGGCATATTTTGGAATTAATATTGATTCACTCATAGGGTCTTTGCATCAAAAATAAACACATTTATTCCAAAACTAGTTGTTGGCATGATGCGGGTTATCTTCTCATATATTTTATGATGGTATGATACTTAACACCTAACGGGAGGGATTGTGCTTGATTTTCATATGATGAGGACATAATCTTTCAATCAGTTAAATTGAGGTCTGGAGCTTGCATTTCAGTAACTGCTAGTAGTCCTTCGTTAATTTATGTATCATTGTCATTTTGCTTAGTTTCTTCTGTTACCTATTCTGAAATCGGACTCGGACTTCTTTTTAGCTGAGTTTAACTGTGCGCATTGCCGTGTGTTTGTTTATTCTACATTGGCTAGAGGTATAGGGGGTGGGTTGAGATCTAATAAATCATGTTTAACCCCGCCGTATTTTTGCGCCTGTCCCAAGTCAGAAATGAAATGAAAACTGTACGACAAAAGAGATGATTTCAGCTTCCCAATTGTGAATTGTCCATTTCTATGTAGCAACATTCCAGCAGCGCCTGCATACGGAGTATATATCTCCCGTTGATATGATATTCAGGGGCTTGTATTTCCTATCATGATGTTCTTGATAGAGGGTTGCTGCTCACAAGGAAGCTATGAAACCAAAAGTTCCAAGTGGTGGCATTGAAATCATTCCTACATGTTCGTTAATTTTACGGACGCCATCATGAGTTGGTTGACCGTTCTGGAATATCCTTTTTATAGATGATAGCGGATATATTCCGGTTGTGGTAACTGCAGTCCGTCCCCTTTTCCCCGGGTGTGACCTACCGAATTGGACATGTTACCGGGTTTGTACTAACATGAGCAACACGACGGGTGCCACATGTGGAGCAGGATCTGCTTACCGTTCCGGAGCACCTGAGATCACCCCCATTTTTTGGTTGGGTTCTAGTTGCTCAGTCTTTAGTTTTTCTATGTTGTGTTTTGTGAACTGTTGTTTATAAGAAAGAAGGAGTGGTTTGATTGCCAATGAGACAACTCCCCACAAGTTTATTTGTCTTTTTTTTCTTTAGTCATGTCGTTGTTAGTTTATTTTCGACTTTTGTGTTTAAATGTCACCTTGATATATTTCGCCTCTCTGTTGTTTTCTTCGAATATTTAACAAACGCATCAAAGAACCAGGTTATCAATTATTTGTTTCGTCTTCACAATATTATCAATGGCGCTCGAATCAATGAATGTGAAGGGCTTACTCAATATCAATGCATGGAAATCTAAATTTTACTAAAAGAAGTTCAAGATCTTCAAAATATCATTATATAAGATTTTGCTTATGTTGTGTTGCAGCTACCTTTGCTGTATTGACCTAAAGATAAATTCCTGGTTGTCTTTTTGTCATGCAAGAGGAAAAATCTATAAGAGTTTAACGATCCATTCTCTCCTTTTTACATTTAGTTTGTTTGACAATAATACTTTAAAAATGATTCTTGATTTTTCTCAACAGGAACACTAAAATAAAAAAAAAAAAAAAAACCAAGGACCGAAACACTCGAAGACATATTTGACCAAAATGGATTTACCAAATGACTGACTACTGAGCTGATGATACCTTATGAGACACTCATAGGCAAAACTGTTCAATGCCAAAGATATATAAGTACAGAAACACTCTAATTATTTAATTACCACAAATAGACAGAAAAATAAAAGCCAAATCCATCTAAGGTAATCTTTTCCTGAGGAAGTTGGGACCTTAGTTTCATATTTAATTTAAAATTTATCAACAGATTTTTCAAAAAAAAAAAGGTTTATTATATATCATGCCAGTACCCAAACACTGTTTCTCTTATTTCATTAACAAATATTTAAATTAAATCAACACAACTATTCTTACCGTGTTTTGTGTTAGTAACTGATTCATTTTCCGTTGTACTTGTTGTTAACCCATCACATCTACATCCGAACGGTATTGAACTAGGTACACCTGGTGATCCTGGAAAACCTTTTGGCCCAACAGGACCGATTGACCCTAAATATAAAAAAGATTCAATGTGAATAAAATAGATGCTGCGTATATATAAATCAAGCGACACATCAACAAAATAACCATACATCCATGTGTGTATACACATATACGTCTTAACATGTGACAAATCTACAACAGACGTTCTCCATCGGATAATCATCGGTTATACAGGACTAACACCATAATATATATAATTCGTCTGAAATTTAGCCCAACAATGTTAGATCTGCCAAATTGTATCAACAAATGTTTGCTCTTCCGTCAGCGGGATTCGAACCCTTGTTATGTGAAATCGTGACAACACTGCCTGCACTGTTTCTAGCGCCCTAGACCACTCGGCCAACTAGTCTATAAAAATATCGTTTTCGTTAGTCGAGAACTATCTTTCCTCGTCGATTTATACAGGCTTGTAACCAAGTGCATGATGTATAGTAATATGTAAGATGATGTTTTCGTTATAGAGAAAGTCCAAATAACCGTCCATTCCTGGGAAATAATGGAGCTCAGTAGTCAGTACTTCAGTATTAACATGATAAATAACAAACATAACTAAATTTGCCCGTTTAAAAATTTTGAAATTATAAAGAAACTAAGGTTTCAACTCCCTCAGGCAAAGTTGGCCTGAAAAGGATTTGGCTATTATTTTAGGTCATTTTTGATTATATAGCTCTTCAATTGTTTCGGACTTATACATCCTTGGTTTCAAATATTCGCCTTTGAGCGTTCCTGTTGAAGGTAAATCCAGAAAAGCGTTTCGGATGCATTAAATTTATAACGTGTTGTTTTCATTTATTTACAGCACTGGGTCAATACCTCTGCTAGTGGACTATCAGCCCCCGAGGGTATCATCAGCTCAGTAGTCCGTACTTCGGTATTGACATGATTAATAACAACCCTTTCTAAATTTGCCCGTTTGTAAATTTTGAATTTATAAAGAAACTAAGGTTTATATATAATTACTCTAAAAATCAGCACAACAATGTTAAATCTGTAAATTTGCGGAAGCAAATTTCTGTTCTTCCCTCGCTGGGATTCGAACTAATGCTATTGGGATATCGAGACAACACCGCCTGCACTATGTCCAGCGCTCTAGACCACTCGGCCACCTAGACTGAACTAAAAATTCAGCTTTCGGTGGCCTAGTGTTACCTTTCCTCGTCAGTAGACTCTAGAATTGTAACACAGTACATGATATAATAGGCATGAAGATGGAATTGATTGCAGATTAGATAAAAAAATATCGTAAAGGATCGTAAGATACAGTCACAGAAATAATTATTTTGATAAGTACGTCTTAACAAGTGACAACTCTATGACAGATACATCAATTGGATCACCAATGAAGGCGATACACGGCTGAAAACACATATTATATTCATAATTACTCTAAATATCTGTATATATAAACGGCAAAAGTCAATATATAATATAATTATATATAATATAATTATATATAATAATGAAAATTGATTATTTTATTAAACAAATTAGCATCACACAACACCAGTTAAATGTCAATGCATCAATGAAATGTCTCTCCAGCCGGTTTTAACTATAGATAGGTTTCGATAGGACATAATTTGAGTTTGAGTTATTTCCTTTGGGCCGCCATTTTGGAATGGGTAAATGGATGATTTCTCCATTTATAGATGAGGACTTTGTGTTAAGGAAATTGTCGTTTACAAGGTAATATAGATACAGACTATTCATCAGTTTGTGGGCATGGTAGTGCAGATAATCATGACGTCTGCTGGGGGTATTTATCGATTTTGATTTACATAGATCCCGTATGAAGGTGTCAAAGCAAAATTTAATATAGTCTTCTAACACGTCATTCTACTAATTACACTCTTCGGCTCTCCGAAAATGTAACATATCTGACTTATTTTCCGTGGTGCAACAAGGCATCTCAATTGAAAGATGTCAAAATTCTGACCAATGACTATGACGTAACTTTACCTTGCTATAAATACTGCGGCGGGAAAGTTGCGTCATCAAAAATGTTTAATAAACATTTAAAATAAACTGAGAAGTGTTCCAAGTCGGTTAAATACAACGTATTTTATCGTTGTCCTCTTTTCTAAAGGTGTTTTGAAAACATGTGTGAACTGTAGTGTAAAACACACAGATGCTGGTCAATGTCACGCAATCAAGTGTTGATAGAACGTGTTCACCTTGTATTTATTTGAACGTTTTTTTTTGTCTTAAATAAATTTATAAAAAAAATGTCGTTATTAATTTTACACGGAATAAAACTATTACAGGAGTTATAAGAAAAAATATCTTTATTGATTTTCAAGGAAAGTACGAAAGTGTACTCGTATTCCTGCCATAATGTACCCAAGTAGTGATGTACAATTTATAACAAAATTTAAAATATTTTTACGAGTATTATTATCACAAAATGTTAAGAATATATTCAAAATTCTTATTCCAGTATAAGAAATTATAATTGTAATGCATTGGAATATGCAACTAGCGAACGTTCAACTGTTTGTATGTTACTGTAGATAGACACTGGAAATGGCAATACGGAACGCTATGTGGGGTATTTCTCATCAAAAGTATTTTGAAACCTTTCCTAAAGATATGATATATCAAATTATGTTCAAATAGCTTGTTTTAAAAAAAAGTAAATTTTCTAAAGTACTTCTTCTGAACATACAATATAAATGAAACTACCAAGATAATATGAATAATATGGCAGGTTTATGAATTTTAACAAGCTCTTAGTGAGATAATAAATGTAAACAGAGCTGTGTTACAGTTGAACATAAAGAGACATAATATAAATGATGTGATTGGTATTTAGTTGTGAATGTTGAGTGAACAGTCGAAAAAATATTAAGGCAATCTTCACGAGCAAGAAGCAGTTCAAAAGAAGTTCAATCGAGAATATTTGTTGGTGAAGACGTTTACATTCTCCCTTGTAAAGCAAATAAGATTCCACTAACCAACAGTAGATGTTGTTTGAGTAGAAGAATGAAATTTAAAAAAAATATTATTGTTTTAAATGTTGCAATACTGCAATATTTTAAATGGAAACTTTTGATGCACAATTCTATACATGAAGGTAATCTCATGTCTGTGACTATGATTCAGTTACACGAACTATCCTGCAAGATTTAGATCCTGTCAAATAAAAAAGCTGTAAGTTCCTTGCCGTTAAAGAAGAAATTAGCATATGGTGTTAGATTAACCACAGACTATTTATTGTTTAGATTCAAAGACGATGTGAATTTGAAATGGAATTAAAGTGACGAGGATATTGGAACATTCATCACTCATGCCAACAATATACATCAATGTATCAAATCTACTCACGAGAGATCTAATGTCAAAAAATCACCTTCCTCGACACTTCAAGCTCTCTTACATATGACATGATATCTACAAACCTATATTCTAAGCCTACTGATACTCACTAACAATTGTCCTCACAACGTTACCATCCTGCTCACCATACAGCCAGGCACTCAGAGTCAAGCGAATATGTTCCAACACAGAAACAACTACAAATCGACCGAGTCAACTCGAAACCCGCTTGAGGAGAAGGAGCTATCATACAAGAATAATTAAAAACGTTTTCAGAAACATATCCCATTTAGCATACTGCTTTAATACAAAGATAGAAATAAGAATAAAAAAAGTCTACAGATGCATAAAAAAAGTAAATTAACAAATATAACAGGCATTTCCTTATGTAGAAAATGGTGGATTAAACCTAGTTTTTGTAGCTAGCTAAACCTCTCACTTGTATGACGGTGATGAGCGTTATTAACAGAATGAACTGTTATCCAAGCATAACTTGGAATGTAAAGGATGGGCGAAAGATACTAAAGGAACATTCAAACTCATAAGTCGAAAATAAATTGACAACGCCATAGCTAAAAAAGAAAAATACCAACAGACAAACAATAGTACACAAAACATAACATAGAAAACTAAACTAGAAAACATGTAAAGGATGAACCGAATTACAGGATCCTTACTTGGAACAGACACGTGCAGAATGTAACGAGGCTAAATATGTATGTGAGCTTCCAACCTCCATAAGCCTTAAACAGAGGGGAAACAGCACGACATATAGAACTTTGTATTATTAGTCTTTTGAACATTACTAGGATACATTTTCAATAACCCTTGCGAACGACTAATGACACCTTCAGTTAATAGCAGAAATGGAGGGTTGGTATCAAAGAAAGCATTCACTTACGCATAACATTTCAAATATATACTTGAATTCGATTTCACCGAAGAAGACTATTTTGGAAAACATCTATTGCAAACTTTTCTCTCTTTCTGTCTCTTAAACACACATGTTGACAGGGTATGGCTTGTATTTCACCCAAACTTCACAACACCTAATGAACACATTTGTTATAGGCATATAACGCCCTAGTCATTAGAAGTAAATAATTGTTTGATTAAACATCAAAACTAAAATACGGGTTATTTCATCTTCCCAATTTCTTCAAGAGAGCTATCTATATAGAAGTTCATCGTCTATAAAGATGAAATAGATAATTAAGACACTTCCGGTATTTCGTTATACTCAATTAAAAAAAAATATATGTAAATCTTAATTTACAAAGGAGTAGGTTCAATAAGACCCCTTTTTGGCCCCAAAATATAGCAGTTTTACAAAATTTTGAAAATGTAATCTTTTAGCTATTTATTGGAAAGTAGAATGCTTCTGCTACATAAATATGGAATGTTTTTGACAATACAATGCACATATATCGGGTACTAGCATCATGAAGTCATGCTAAATTACTGAAATCTTCACAATTTTAGCATTTTGGTTAGATTTTAGATGGTTTCCATCTTAAATGAAAGTGGCCGCATTCGTGTTCATTCATAATATTGAAATGTAAGTTCTATTTGATGATAATACATAACATATATAAAGGTTGAGGATGAACACGGATGCGGCCACTTTCATTTTTGACAAAAACCATCCGAAAAGTGACGTTTTCTGGCATATTTGATAGATTTTTCATATTTTAGCTTGAATCGAAGCGTTTTTAATGACTACATCAGTTAAAATATGTCACATAAACTAATTGAATCAATTGAAATAGACACTTCAGTGTTTAAAAAGTGTCTAAAATCTTTCGTTAGATGAACCTGAAATTTGAGGCCAAAATCGGCCCTTACTGGACCTACTCCTTTACATCCACAGTAAGAACAATATCGTTGTGGTAAATATAACAAACGTACAGGAAAACATTTTTTTTTGATATTTTTTCCACTGTTCACTCAACATTAACATTCTAATCATATTCATAAACTCATAAATACTGTTATCGAGACAACCTTTTACATTTTACGCTCTTTACCTGTTGGTTTCGTTGTCGACGGAAGGTGAAGACAGTTTTTGAAAAGGTCTAGTATGATGTCATCGATACGACTTTAGCGTAAAATATAAAAAAAAAAACCAGTTCGAAATAAAAGATATGTGTCAGGTGAAATATCTTGTTATTTTGTTTACTAACGACGTAATCACTAACCATAAAAACCGTGGAATTTATTCCTTCCAATTATATGACGTTTTCCATCAAAATCATGCTTATAAATCAATTGCATTAGAATGCAGATTGACCATGTGAGCAGCAATTACCTGTATTCCCTTTCCCTCCTTTTTCACCAGTGTCACCTTTAAAACCAAGACCTCCGGGTAAGCCATCTCTACCAGGATTACCTTTCACTCCAATCGGACCTTAACACATGCAAACGAAAAAAAAAACTCCCATTATAAATAATCCTATTTTATCTATATATTTATACATCACATCAAATGTAATCATTTGAAAATATATTTATTGTATCTGTATTTTTTCTCCTAAGAGTAACTGTATATTTAGCAACTTTGCTTTTAATACCAGTTTCGATCGTTTGTTATACTAGTTACTATTACATTCCGGTCGAATGATCTTTTACTACGTGCTAGTCGTAACAAAATAATGAAAGGAAATTTGTAATTTATTCATAAAAAGTAGGGTTTTCATTTTTGTGTTTTTTCTTCAAAAAGGAGTTATTTTAAAAGTTTTGTGAGTAAATATTAGCTTTTAATATGTATTTGTTAATATCATTTATCTTTTTGTTACACATATTTAATAGACATAGTTGATATACACAACAGAACAGGCATATAACATAGCGGGTGTTGATTACTATGTAAATAGTTATACAGTATTGAAGTGATCATTACATTAACCCGACCAAGCAAAAATATATAGTTATCTACATAAAGCCTCAATTGAAATAGAAAAGGTTTAAACAAAAATTCAATTTCATGTTTTATCCTATCATCAATTTTGTTTTCTCTTTCTTTTGGTATTTTGTGATGGTTCTTTTTTTCCAAATAACCCACTTTGCTACAAGAACGACCGTATCTAGAATTTGAAAAGGAATATCTGCATTTATAACACCCGAAAGGATTCGCATTTCTAATTTTTGTAAATATTCGATTCTCAATGTTGTACAAAATTCCCACATTTTCTCAAACATTTCCCTCCAAACTTCTTCCAACAGTCAACAGTTACACAAAAAGATGAAACAATGATTATGTTTCATTATAAAAGTGACTCTTCGTTTGAACGATTCATCTTTTGTAATCTTTTTTCCAAGTAAACTTCCATTGAAGGTGTTTTGCTTTCTTGTTTGGGATACATTTTTATTCAATTAAAAGTGTGCTGAATAATCTTCTAGGCACAATTGTTTGGCTTCAACGACAATTCCGATTTTTTTCTAAATTGAAAAGATTTTATAATTTTCGGATTGACTTTGGGGTGGCACGGTAGTATTTACATTCCGGAATTTAGGTTTCTCTTTTGTGTACCCTACTTAAGTCAATGTATCTGAACAGTATGATTGGACAAAAAATACAGTATCTTATGGAACGCCACAGCTGTCTTATGTGGTACTCTGATATTACTTTGTATTGTTTTATTATTACTTGATGATATTTTGTCTTTACTTAATATGGTTTTGACATTACGTAATGATGTTTTGATATAACTCAATATGGAATAGTCATTACTTAATGATATTTCGATATTACACGATATGGTTTCGTATTGACTTGATATAGTTTTGTCATTCCTCAATATGGTTTTGTCATTACTCGATGTGGTTTCACCATTATTTAATGTGGTTGTGTCATTAGTCAATGTGGTTTTAACATTACGTAATGATGTTTCAAAATTTGACGATTTTACACTACATGATGTGTTTGTTTCATTATTTGATGTGGTCCTGTCATTCTTTGATGTGGTTATCCCATTACTTGATGAGGTAAAATCACGTGACCAATTCGGAAAAACCTGTTCTATTTTTAGATAGATTTCCATGTTGTTTGTGCCTTGGATGAGTGTGGCCATCCATCGAATTAGAGTTCAAATTAAAGTTCGGGGTTACTGTTTGAGTTAAACTTTGAGTTAGTCTTCGATTTTGAATTCAAGTCATTATTAGAATTAAAGTTTAAGTTAGCATTGAGTTTCGAGTTGGACTTCGAGTTTGAGTCACATATAAAGGTAGAGTTCTAGTTACAACATTAAATTTGAGTCACCTTTTGAGGTAGAGTTTGAGTAAGATTCGAATTTACGTCTCATTTAGATTAATTAAGATTTTGAGTTGAAATTCGAGCTATCTTATATGAGTTCGTAATTAAATTTTCTATCGCGGAACAAGGACTTTTGCTCGGGCTTCCGAAAAGAGGGCTCCGGGGTATGCGTACAAAAGATAAACAATGTTACAGTATACAAAACGCAACATAGAAGTTGAAATAAAGTTAGATGTGGTGTGATTGACAATGAGACAACTATCCACCAGAGTTTATATGCAGTGGATGTAAGAAATCAGATATAGGCAACCGTACAGCCTTCAACACACCGTATAGTCAGCTACAAAAGGCCACCATGCACCATGTGAAAAAATTCAAACGAAAAAACAAACGGTCTTATTTATAAATAAACAATCTACAAAAAAAAATTACACACATTTATACAACGACAACAATTGAACTTCATGCTCCTGACATGGGGCAGGTACATAAAAAAAGTGCACGTGGCGGAGTTTAACATGTATGTGAGCGCTAAATCCTAATCTTTCATCGGACTGTTACAGTTGTGTAACAGCACAACACGAGAAAAAAATGTAAACTAGACAAAGTGATGCTCCCGCACTCAACTCATTTAACCGCTTATACCCCCAAAATGACAAAAAAACGTTCAATTATCTCCCAAAAGAGCAAAAGATAATAAAAATAAAAACCCTGACCACATGCACACCTTCAATATATGTACAAACAGACAGTAAAGAGAAAACTTCCTAGGATTCAAACTGTAGGAGGAGTTATGCGGAATAACTATATACCCATAATGGGACGGACAGACGGACGGTCGGGCAGACGGACGGACGGACGGACAGGGGTAAAACAATATGCCCCCCAACTTTAGTTGCGGTGGCATACAAAACAGTTTCATTTGGCTGATTCAATAGATCGGTATGACTGGGTAATATAAATCCTTCGGGGTGATCTCGGATGCTCCATAAAGGCACCCGTCGTGTTATTTGAGAAAGTACAAACCCAGTGATTTGGTTTTATTTGGTAGTTTACCATCAAGGAAAAGATGACGGTATTATGGTTACGACCACTGGAACATGTCCGTCGTCACATGTGAAACAGATATTCCAAAAAGTTTATCTTTCAATTAGTGCGAGGTAGATCAGGGAATTCAATTGATTACAAATAAAAGATTGATATTCGTATAAGTTCAAATGATCATTTACGCTTAAAATAAAATCGGAGAATTCTTTTTTTATAGTATTGATGCTTTGTCGCTTAGTCCGAGCCCCCCTCCCCCCGTTTCCCTGTAACTTTAGTGTGAGTTGATTTGAAGTGTTTCATTTGTTAACAATAAAGTTCAAGTCTTTTGATTTGTGTCGAGCCTGCGACATCAATGTAGGGGCAGTGAGAAACAACAAACCTATATTTCGTCGTCGATTGTGGCGTCGGCGTCTCCATCTTCATTTTTTTTAATTTCTATTGAGTTTAACCTTTCATTATACATGTTACTAAACATGTATGCCATCATAATTTTGTACTTATAGAATATCATACTGTATTTGTTTACCTCGACTATTGTATCTGTATTTATATTGTATGTTTCTCTGTAAACTTGTATTTAGTTTTTAGAAGATAAAGTATCTATCTATCTATCTATAGATCGTTAGGTTTCAATATTTTAACTTTTTTCATTTCGGGACCTTTTATAGCTTACTATAGGGTATGGGTTTTGCTCATTGTTGAAAACCATACAGTTTTGTTTAAGTTAAATAAAACCGAATTAAACTGTTTTGACATGATACATTTGTAAACCTCCATGAAGTGCTTTAAAACTTGCTTAGGAGTTGTTCCTAAATTTCAAGAAAAAGCATCTACAGAAAAACATTTTTAAAAAATTTTTTTTTTACCGATTAATGTATTATATATAAATGTACAGCCGACCAACATGACGCTTTTACACTTACAGCAGCAATATCAGGCGAGTCACAGGGTTTCGTGGAATATTTTACAAATTTATTACAAAAATACTGCTTCCGTTTGAGAACTTAGGATAAAAACAACAGGACCAAGTGGTTCGGGGATATCCCAATTATGTCCGAAATACTGTAAACTTTTGAATACTTTTTTTCTTATTATTGTCTGCCGTTCCCCTTTTTCATACCAAATAACTCTGAACAACCACTCGAACTTTAATTTGAACTTTAACTCAATGGATAGCGATACCCATCCAAAGCACATTAAACAAACGATATATTGAAATCTGTTTAAAAATAGAACATATTTTTTCCGAATTGGTCACGTGGTTTTACCTCATCAAGTAATGGGATAACCACATCAAAGAATGACAGGACCACATCAAATAATGAAACAAACACATCATGTAGTGTAAAATCGTCAAATTTTGAAACATCATTACGTAATGTTAAAACCATATAAAGAATAGGCAAATCATCATTACAAAATAACAAAACCACATCATGTAATGAAACAACTACATAACGTTAAGTCACATTCACATCAAATAATGTTAAAACCACATTGACTAATGACACAACCACATTAAATAATGGTGAAACCACATCGAGTAATGACAAAACCATATTGAGGAATGACAAAACTATATCACGTCAATACGAAACCATATCGTGTAATATCGAAATATCATTAAGTAATGACTATTCCATATTGAGTTATATCAAAACATCATTACGTAATGTCAAAACCATATTAAGTAAAGACAAAATATCATCAAGTAATAATAAAACAACATAAAGTAACATCAGAGTTCCACATAAGACAGCTGTGGCGTTCCATAGTATCTACTAAACATACTTTCCCAAACTGAGGGTTGAATCTGGTGTAGAAAAATATGAAATAATTTTACATACAGGTGAAAATGAATTTTTGAGAATTTTTGAGAAAGTTGTATTCACTGCATGATAAAAGACATAAAAGGCCTTAGGTTTATAAAGATAGCAATAAAAGTAAACGATCATCATACATATTCAAATTAATTTTTGAATATCATAATGAAAGTACTTCAGTTAACTGTGTATGTAGAATTTTGGGCAGTGCTAGAAAGTGGTCAAAATTCTAAAAAGGCTATCATTATCCCTATGGGCCAGGAAATACTACCGTGCCACCTTAAC